TTGCGCTGAGATTGCCAAACAGGAGCAAGAAAATCGCCCTCGCGAATGAATCAGACCGAATATTTGCATGAGTTTCTTGCCGCGGGATAGCGCAAATGTTGCACAAATAGAGTCACATGACCTGCACGGGACTGATAACATCAATCACGCCATATGCCTGGATTGGTCCCCTTTCCCACCCCATTGCTCGACGGCGCAGCTCATATGGATGCATGGAAAACAATGTAATCATCATATGTATCTACTACATACACATATGAGCATCTAATGATACATCTTGCATGTCGCAAGACCCAATCTTCCTGTGGTGCACCTACTGTTTCAGAGATGAAAATACTAAGGTGATATGCCGCACGCTCGTCGGCCTATACAACTTCTGCATCATCAGTATGTTCAGAGACTGCAAGAGTATCACACTTACCCATGCAAATCGAGCATCAGCGAAGCATCGCTGTAGATATGGTACACGTACCATGTCGAGTAGAGACAACAGCTACAACAGGTCGAGAGGAGCTGAGGCGAGGACAGGCAGATGGTGGTGGTTGAAGGGAAAGAGAGGATGAGAGAGAAATTTGTTCAAGTCCAACTCCAACCGTTACGAGCGGAGATTGGACTCCGGCACCTCGGCATGATGAAGGAGCGACGCGACGTGTCACGAGACCACCGGCACGCCCCCGTGCCGATAAGTCCGAGTCAGAATATTGCGCAATGGAATCCACGACGCAAATCCTTTGCAACCTGTATTGCAACGGTTGCACAAATGGCACGCACGCAAAATGAGTGCGACTGTTACGCAAAAGTACTGAGAATTATACTACTGACATTTGCACGAACGCCCCTTGGATTTTTTCACCAGATTCTGGGCTGGCCGTGTACTGATGGAAAACATTGACAAAGGCGTTGCGAGACGCGTCCGGGGAGGCACGTGATATAGTGTCACTGTCACAATACTGTACTGTATTCTCTTCCGCTTGAGTAGCTGGCCGCCTCCGCTTTCTTTCGTACGGCAATGTCCTCTCAAATGCACCCTCGACTGGCACATCGTAACCACAAAATAAAGGGCGGAATGGCGGAACTATACGGCCCTCTTGAAGACGAAGAAAATCCTTGCTACTGTCCTGAACTGCCTGCTGCGATTTACCTGGAGTCTCTGCGCGCTCGGCTCGAGGGACTTGCCTTTTCTCAAGAAGATCTTGACAATCCGTCTTTCGCAAGTTTGCTGTACAAGACCGCCGAGGAGGAAGGGCTCGTGCACTTGGGCTTGATAGGCGAAGACACGGGTGCGATATCCTTTTCCGGGTCGCACTCGTCAACTTTGGGCAGCATACGATCTTTGCCCCGAGGACCGCACGGTGAGCACGATGGAATATCGGACGCTCTGGTTAAGTACCCGTCTGTGAAAGAGGAACCCGAATACCCAGGTGTACCCGTCAAGCGGAAGCAGCACTTGGTGTCGAGTAGTTTTAGTGATTTGGAAGGACCGGTGAAACGGGAACGGTCTATTCAAGTAGTAAATCAAAGCTCCTTCGACGTCAGCGATAACGTCGATAAATTGGTATTTTCTTCGAAAAACGGGACTTCGTCAGAGGCGGCGAATCCGGATGTGACTCTCGTCGACCTTTCAGCAAAGCTTGAGGCTCTCGAAGGTACTTTTACTCGTTCAGTGCAAATGACTTCTGATCTGGCCTGGAATGTGCGCCAAAAGATGAACTGTACGGTCCCGATATTGGGTCGGATGAATCTCTGGAAGACTTGAATGCTCTGATCGACCAGCTTGCTACACTGCTACCTGGACTACGTCTTCAAGACCGGCTGCTATCAATTCCTGACCTCAACCATCAAAGGATCGCTGATTTTCTCGGATCCAACGGTTTGTATTCTTTTGAAAGATTTATGATCGTCGCTTCAAGGCACTGGTGCTCGACTAGGGCTATTCAACCTACAGATCTTAGACCTCTTGAGATCGGCGAACATCTGGCAGTTGGAATTGACCGACTCTGCGGTGGACGCAGCCGGTCTGAACCTCTCGGGTCGCGATATGCTCCGTGGTAATATTATATGCTCATGATATCCCGAGAGCTTCAGAGATAAACCGTACGCTCCAGCATTCATCAAACCAAACAGCTACGCTACACTCAAGATCATCGATCTGAGGGACACGCCGCTACGAGACATTGACATCGCCTACCTGCACCACCTCCCTGCGCTGGCCGCGCTCCTCCTCGATGACACAGGTATAGGGAATGAGGCGTCAGTCCGCTCCCCCCGTTTCTCCCTCTAGTTTGCTCAACCCTCATGGTGCAGCATGTATCACTTAGTTAGCCTCCGGCGTACGCTAACGGACCTACACGTCCGGAACAACCCAAGGATAGACGACGATGCCGTGCCGGCCCTTCTCTTGCTGTCCAAGCTACGCTCGCTCTCCCTTTACGGGACGTCAGTCGGGATGGCCGGCCTGCGTCGGTTCGCGGGCACCATCCACGAGGAGGATCGCCATCTCGATATTGAAATACCCGTAGCATGCGATGAATACATCGAAGGTACACGTCCATGTTTCCTCTCATTCAGGCTGACGTGAATTGGTTACAGATATATCCGCGAAGTACATGATTGACCCGCGCCCGCCCCTGATCACGGACCCGGCGGCGTGCGCAAGCCTCTCCGTCGCCGCGCTGAGGCGCAACCTCACGGAGCACGCCGCATACAACGACGCCATCGTCGCGGGCGGGACGAAGGGCGAGATGGTCGAACGCCTGGAGAGGATCCTGGAGACGAGGAGGATGGATCTGCTCGTGAGGGCTATGGTTTGGGGCGAAGATGGCTCGGGGGTTCTCGAGGGCTCGGGGAGCGCTGGTTAAGCATGTATGTAAACAATGCTGCCTTGTGTCTTCGAATGGGATGCCCCCTTGAAGTCATCGTGTACCTCTGGAATGGTATTCCGTGGGTTGCTGGTGACTTCATGAGGGCAGCCTAGACTTGTGAACTGACTTCTGGAGGACCGGAATGTCATGTCACCGATCCTTTGACACCCATCACCCGCGCGGTGTGTCCTGGCCACGGTGAAAGCTGGGAAGCCGCACCTAGAAAGACGACGGAAATATCACAGGTTCATTGATACGAGTAATTGTGAGCTATATCAGTCTGAGCGCTTGGACGTCATGATAAATGGAAGCTGGTGGGTACCCTGAATCAGCTGGTCCTCTGTACGACCTAACCAAGACAACTCTGCGTGACGATACTTATAATTACGTTCGTAAGTCTCGATGCAAGTCTTCCATTCTATTCATCTTGCATCGCGATTTCGCCCCAGGTTGCCTTAGGTGGTCATATTCTGTACTCCAGGTGGCCAACATAGCGGTACATGGCTCCGCGTCAAGGCAGGTCTTCCAACATGAATCATGTCTCAGGGTCTGCGTATAAAGGCGTAGGATGCTGACTGCAGAAACCACTAACATCACCCATCATGTCGCGTGTCGTTGGTGGCCTCGCCAAGCTTGGCTCGGACATTCTGCACCCTGGGAGGGACCTCTAGTTCGTGTTTTTCCACATCCCTTCTCCGTTCTCGTGTTTGACGCTCGCTCAGCATCCCGAACGTATGCGGGAAGGATTCGGTAGACTCTAACACGGGCGCTGTGAGCATCCCTGACGGTTTATACGCAAGCGTCGGTACCCTGCCTTCGTCTTCGGCATTGGCTCCGCAGGCGGTGTACAACGGGGGGTACACGAATGCGGCAGAGATCTATGTGCGTATCGCCACGGGAGGCTCGGGTCAATCTGGCCTCATTGGCGCCTGGGCCGACGCGTTTATCAAGTACTCTGTGAGCCAGGGTCAGCAGCCCTTCCTGGTGAGTTGAGCACCGAGGTGGTGGATGATACCATGCACTGCTGATGTAAGACTCTGATGTCCAGGTGGGCTGGTACCTTGGTGATACGACGGAGAGTCTAGGATTGCTCGAAGCCGGCTCAGTTGACATCGCTGTGACATATAACGAGGCCGCCGAGTTGCAGAAGATGAACAGCAAGGTAGCCGTCAGGAGGGAGTACGGCTTCAGAGTGAGTCGTCTATCGTTATCCACAGTTACTGGCACGCTCATGACTTCCTATTTCTCAGGATCACTTCTATCTCGTAGGGCCCAGCACGGATATCAATCCGGCTGCACTCAAAGACGACGACGATATCCTGACGATGTTCAACAAAATTGTAACGACCGGGAATGCGCACGCTATTGTGATTCCTTCTATTTGCTATAAACCTGATTATCGTTAACTACACCTGGTTAGTCACCGCCGAAAGACGGCGTTCCCACTCGTTTCCTGTCCAGGTACGACAAGAGCGCCACAAACATCAAGGAAAGCGAATTGTTCATCAGAATCGGACAAGGAAGTTCCTCCACAACAGACTGTCTCCACGCTTACAACTTTATCCAAATTAGGTTCCATGGGCGCTGGCATACTCCAAATGGTACCACCAGTACCCGCAGTTCCCTCTCCAGGCGCTGAAAGCCACGTCCGTCCTGAACGAGTACACAATCACCGACCGCGGCACCTGGCTCTCGTCCGACGACGCGATCGTCGCTTCGCTCCACATCTACAAGCAGGGTGGGGACAGCACGGTGGACCCGCTGCTGAACCCCGCGCACGTCCTGCTGGGCAGTAAGGTTGAGGATAAGTATAAGGAGATATGTAAGGGGTTTATGGATTGGGTGGTGATGAAGGACGGAGGGCAGAAGGTGATACGGGAGTTCAAGAAGAAGGGGCAGGTGCTTTACTCGGAGGCTCCGACTTCCAAGTGATGGATAGCGGGGCGAAAGCTGTGGCAGCTCTGTATTTCTTGTACCATCAATTTGCAAGGTGATTCTGCGCACGAGGGCACTCCGGTGGTATGGTTTGGAGGGAGGGGCAGAGAAAGTACGGCGTCCCGATGCCTTCTCCAGTCAAACAGGTACGTTGCGCTAGGTGGCTCAGTGGATTGCGTGTCTCTCACGTCACACCCTATTCTATATAATGCAGTGTATAAACAATCCGGAATCCGCGTAGAATTAATACTCTAGAATACAAAATGCCGCTCATACCCCAGGGCCGCCAATAGAACCCAACCAATTAACTACGAACATTCCCATGACAAGCAAGCCTACATGATCACACACGACGACTTCTTCTTCATGCCCGGCGCGCTGTAGCGCTCCCTCTCTGCCGATGCCTTCGTGCGCATCTCGCGCAGCTTGCGCTCACGCTCGGTGTGCTCCTGCTGCTGCCGCTCATATAGCGCCTGCGCCTGCGCGTCCTCTTCTTCCTGGAGCCTCTGCGCGAGCACTTGACTGCCAGAGCAGAAGAAACATCAGCGTATTTCCTTTGAAATCAGACATCGGGGATAAAGGGCTGCGTATACGTACTCTTCTGGGTCGACGGGCGGGTAATTGCCCTGGTCCTGTGCCTGCGCGGCCTGCTCGGCGGTCATGCCCGCCCAGTCCCCGCCGGCGGGTGAGGAGGGCTTGAAGTCCGAGTCGACGAAGGATGAGGCGCTACCCTCGACATCCTCGAGGCGCTCCCAGACGACCGTCGGCTCGTGCAGAAACACCATGTCAGTCACGAGCGTATATAGGGCCGAGGAGTCGGTGCTGCTCGTGTCTTGAGTTTCGGCATTTGCGTCCGTCTCTGGCGTCTCCATGGTGCTTGCTGGTGGCGAGGGGCTAGCCGCAGGCGATTTGTACAGTACTGAGAGATGGGAATTGCGGAAAAGGGCGACGAGCGAGTCGGGCGGGAGCGTCGATGCGAGGTGGAAGAGGCCGTAGTAGGTCAGCTGTGACTGCGTCGAATCCAGGAAATTGCGGATGACGATAGCTATTGCTTGCTCGTTAAATTCCCTTCCCACAAATCCCGAAATGCGCGCACATACCGTCCTCCACTTTCCTCCGCTGCTCCTCCGACCACTCCTCGTCGCCACTCGGGGCGCTGGGCGCCTCGGCCTGCTCGCCGACGACTAGCCGCCCCTGTGTGGCGTGGTCGGCTTCGACGATGAGGTTGACGGCGTTATCGTAGTCCTCCACGCGCGCAAGGACGGGGTACTCGCTGCTCTCAGGGTCGGCAAGCCACCCGTGCACGAGCTTGATCCCCGCCTGCTCAAAGAGTTTCAATTCGCCGCCCGAGCCGTCGCCACCGGGCCGGAAGGATGTAGCACCTGTGAATAGTGGGTTCAGGTCCATGCCCTCTGGTGATGAAGGTTAGCAGAGTGATGCGGGAGTAAAAGGGGCGGGCACACTGGTCGTCTTGGGCATGATAGAGAGCGCGGCGGAGATGTCGACGTCGGGGCAGTTCGTGAGCAGGTACTCTGCTACGAGCTGCGAGAGCATCTCGTATGATACGGTCCTGCGGTCATGAGGGAGTATCTCAATCTTATCGCGCAGTAGCAGAATGTTGCCTGCGGAATGTCAGATGGTCCCCGTTCGCGAAATCACTGCCAACTCACATATTGCAATAAATGAACAGGGTCTGCGTAAATCACAGACATAAGAACGACACCAACGACGGCGGCCAAATAAAGATTGACCTAATAAATTGACGATAGTTCAACTAACCCATTAAAGTTCTGGGTGATAATCTTTCGCCGCTTGCGCGACGGCCCCGTCCCGAATACGATTTCTTTCAAGTACCAGACATCTTCTAGCGAGGACCGTACTGGATTGCTGGCCATGAAGCTCGAATGAGAGACAGAAAGCACAGAATATGGCCTCGCCGCTGCCGGTCTGACGTCTATACGTGGAAGTGTGGCAGATTGGTGGCGGTGATTTTCTCCTTCCCCTGCGCGATTACAGCACGAGGTTATACACCGCAGCACGCGCAGGTAATGGCTGTCCTAGGCGCGCCGAATTGAACCGAATTGAACAAGTAGGAGGTCCCAGTCGAGTCCCCGGACGAGAGGGAACACGTTGGAAAGAAATAGAAAGGTACCGATTATATTAGGACTTGGCAGCAGTACAACCTTGCAGCAATGGTCCGCTTCAAAGTGAGTCAAGGAAATATTTGGTGGTCAACTATCTACCAACGCACACTGCAGAACCGCTGGATCCTCGTCGAATTCATCCCCTGCAACCCCCCAGAAGACGCGACTCGCGCACCCACCCGACGGACCTCAGAAGCAGATATCACCACGAAGGACATCTACGCAGCGCTCAAGCAGAGCATCTTGCACAATTTCGGGGACACGGGATGGGGCGCTGTAGGGTATTCCCTGACAGGTACGTGTATTATTCCGCACCGCCAAGCCAAGCACGCTCGGACGCCTACGCTAGTCAAATATTTCTCGCCCATGACGAACGTGTGTATCATCCGAGTGGGCAGAGACCAGCATAAGATTGCGTGGGCGGGCGTTACTCTCTTGTCATCTATCGAAGGGCGCAAGTTCATCCCGAACGTTATTTGCGTGTCAGGTATGTGCGCTTTGGATCCACGCCGCTGTGGGAGAACACCTTCATGTTGTGTTGTAGGCACTATAAAGCACGCCCAGCTAGCTGCCATCCAGCATAACAGGGTCGTCGTCGCACGGTTTAGAGCGCTAGCCAAAACGCCAAGTGAGTCCCTATCCGGTTTCAATGATTCATTCCCCCGAAGGCTTGGTTTTCGTTTGCAGCAGGGTACCATGACGCGTATGACAGCTTCCTGGACAGGAGCACGAAAGAAATCACAGCTTTGCAAGACTGAAGGCTTCCCCAAGGCTCAAC